CAGTGTAGAGTTACAATTTATTGAACATGAAACGACAGAACTTTCGGACCGACTTAATAGTTTGCCTTGCTTGAGTTGAACCATACCTCTTCATTTGGCAGAATCTTAGGTTGGAAAGAAAAGAATGTCGCTTTTTTTTTCATCGTCATGGCATTGTAGCCAGGCAGGTCAAACCCCAAATAGTATGGGGTACCATTCGATAGAGCAAAGCATACTACGCTCTACAAAATATTACTGCTTCTGCACCAAATTCGATCTACCTGAAATGCGAGGACGTAATTCAAAAAGTTTCAACTGGCCGAAAAATCAAAAAGATTCATATCTCCGTCCATAAAAGATCTACGGACCCCAACTTACTCACAAACACACACCCTTCATCAAAGATTTATGTGCACAGTTGTTGTAATCTTTCCTTGGCTAGACATCGAAAGATTGGAAATTTTCACGCTTCTGCCAAAGTGATCTGGGCTGTTTCTGCGTATGTAGTTCTATAGTACTTGGCCTGGGAACGTAGATTTTCAGGCTTCTAGAAGAGTTAGTTCGAGAGATACCGAAATTAATTTGAAACTCAAAAGGAAAAAACTAAATTCGATATTTCTCGAGAACTGACTCTTGTAGGAGGCTGGAAATCTACAGTGGTACTACCCAAGCCAAGAACTATAGGTTTACTACGCGGGAATAGCCTAGCATCGTATCGGCGGAAGCTTGAAAATTTTCAATTTTTCGATGTCTAGCCAAGGAATTAGAGCAACTGCGCATATGAATGTTTGATGAGGGGTTAGTGTTTGTGAGCAGGTTGGGAGTTTTTGATTTTATGGAGGGAGATATGATTGTTTTTGATTTTTCGGCCGATTGAAACTTTTGAATTTCGCCCTCGAATTTCAAGTGGACCAAATTTGGTGCAAAAGCAGTAACTCCATTTTGCAGAGCACGCTTTGCTCTATCGAAATGTGCCCCATACACGTGTTTGGGGTTTGCCCTGTTACGATGCCATGACAAGGAAACA